TTTAATAAACATCAAATAAAAATTGATCAATATATTTATTTATCATTATCAATAATCAATAAATCCCAAATTTATCGATCAACGTCCCAACCCTGTTCCATCACTATGGTTTGGTACATTCTAAGTTTGACCTTTAAATATCCAATCACAGCGCATTTGCCACGTCCCCCGCAACCCTTGCCGAGTTCACCAAATTTGGCCCTACCAAATTTGGTGAACTCGAAACAGAACAAATATTCAATGATGCGGTATCTATTAGGAGGTAATCTGTGTTTCAAGCCCATAATAAACTACCTTTTTCTAGAAATATACCTCGCGGTGGTAAGTGGGGGTTATGTCCGACTCAAACCGATTAAAATCAAAACGTGGTGTACGTTCACGGCATATCTTCAGCGGAGTAATTGTGTTCTGTGCTTCAGCGCCACGGTACTCTTGCACACAATCCTCAGGAGAACACAACATCTTTCTATCTTCCGTTTCCCGCAAGATTATTACGGCCATATTATAGCTCAAAGAATCTACAACCTAAGGGGAAAAAATATTCTCTAGTGGCAGCCTCTGACCGGCTATCGCAGTGTTGCCACCTTGGTTTTTGAAAAGGGGCAGATGAACTATCTAAAAAGGGCTAGATATAGAAAACTCTGCCATCAAAAGAGATGCTAGAAAGAGCTAAAAAACAAATACTTTTTATGGCGTACGTCCGTTGGATAAAACTTTCAAAAGAAGAGTGCCGTCTACGATCGAGCTAGAACAGGTCCCATCTGCAGAGATTGTGATCCTTGGTGATTTTAACGGCCACCACGCTGAAAGACTTGGTTTTTGCTTAACCGATCATGCGGGAAGATCTGTTTATAACTTTGCCTTGGCAGATGATCCGACACAAATGGTTACTTGGCCTACGCGGATTCTAGATGTGGAGGATCGTGTAACTTTCCTGTTCCTTCTGCTGACCTCTCATCCGGACGGAGATCAGGTCTCCGCCGACGCACCTCTTGGTTCATTAGACCATTGTTCAGAACTATGGTGCCACTCACACTCCGATCGCGGTTGCGTTCTGCAGATCGACGCCGTGTTTGATATTATAGGTTGGAGAATTCGGACAGGATGCGGTCTTTTTTTGCATCCTTCCCTTGCGGACAGGGGCGGGTATGCTTCTCGCCGGATGATCCTAACATGATTCTGTCGATGATGTGGTAATTCAGGGAATGGAAGTCTTTATTCTATCATCTGTATTGCCCGTAAAATTGCATCGCGCTATAATAGTAGTGCATCACCAGCGTTAAAAAGAAGTATAATTTCGCCTTCAGGTCGGTACGATACGGTTCACACAGCGCAGTCGAGTGGGCCTGATGGAGTTCCTCCCATTGTGCTGAAGACGTGTGCACCCTAGTTGGCACCGGTCGAACTCAAAGAAGACAGCTTTAGTGCACTAGATCCCTAAAAAATAACCGAGACGTCGACCGCTCGGACCCATCGAACTTGTTCTCCAAAATAATTAAAACCATTGTGAACTGCCAGCTCTTGAGGTTGAATGAAGGTTACTCACCAACTGAAAAGTGACCTCCAGTACGATTTCCGTCGGGGTTGCTCAGCTGGTGATCTTCTGGCTTACTTGACTCATAAATCGGTGGAGGCAAGAGAGGGACCGATCGGGTTTAACACAAACCGCTTCTTTCAAAGCTCCCTTCCCGAGAATTTGTGCAACTGGATCGGTAGTTTTCTTGTAGATTGGAGCAACAAAGTTGTGGTAGAAGGTGCATGCTCCATTTACAAGCCTATTTATGCTGGTGTTCCACAAGGCTACGTGGTCCACGTAGTCTTGTGGAACACCAGCATTACTTACGCTGATTCTTCTGCTTATCAATAATATGTTGAGAGACAGTACCATGCACTGGCGATGCTTTATACACCGGCTGTGACTATATTTCTCGGGAAAATGTCGCCGAGTACCGGAACAAACTTGTGTCTGAAGTCGTCTTTACCGGATAAGGTCTCGGATTGGGGCGACTAAATCTAACTAAGTTCAACGCTTAGAAGACACAAGTTTGCGCGTTTACCACTAAAAAAACCCTTTGTCGTAACTCCTCAATTTCAGGGCACCCTTTTTACTTCAGCCAGTATCAGAATCTTCGGCGTCGACACTTGACATATCGAATAACGTGCAGTTTCGTGGTCACTAGGAAGGTAAGGCTGAATTGGCCTCTAAAACGCTTGGCGTGCTCAGCAGAGCGGGACAGTATTTTATGCCAGCACACAGCTTGCAACAAGGGGCAGGTTCAACCTAATATGGAATAATGGCTTCCTAGTACCAGCTCCTTCCAATTGACCGCATCCAGCGCAAAGCGGCTCGAATCGTCGACAACTGACGAAGACGAAAGACGAGACGAAGAGATGTTGCATCCCTTTGCAATTTCTATCGCATTTACCACAGAGAGTGTTCAGAGAAATTTTTCGGATTAATTCCAGTCACAAAATTTCATCAAAGCATTCCACAAATCCACATCATCGGGAAGTTTGGCGGTCCACTACTGTCCAGTTTACTAGGAGTTTCTTCCTCGCACGACTTCTTTGTGGAATCGTTTACCACCGGCGATTTTTCCGGACCGATACGACTTAGGGACCTTCAAAATCGAGTTTACTCCTTTTTAAAAAGCTGGCAACGCGCCTACAATTTCCCTGGTGTTGTATTTGTTAATAGGCGGTGGTCGACACTTGCCATCAGATAAGCCGCATGCTCGTTTGTCCCCCTCTTCTATATAAAAAAGATAATAAAACGAAGTAGACAATTATCTTTAACAATGTTATATTTATATTCTGGAAGTGGGAGTAATTTTTTTGTTTTCAGTTCGAGCCATTCGCGGTCAGGAGCAAAAAAGTTAAAACTCGAAAATTCTTTATACAGCTAGGATAGTATATAATTTTTCGAACGTTGTTCTTGAATGCTGAGGGACCCCTTTAGCTTGGAGACCACGGGGCTCTGCCCCGCCTAGCCACTGGGTAGCTACGCCACTAGATAATACTCTTCTTTAAGAATCTTAAACACTCCATTGTTTATCCCCACCATCACAGAACCATTACCGGTTTGTATCCCCATCAATTTTTTATTATCTAAATTCAACTCATTAATATGCACTCAACTATAATAGCTCTAGCATTTACGGAAGTTTATTGTTGAAGGCCTAGAAATGTTGAAATTATTTCCTGGCGTTCTTCGCTCAGATATTTTAGAACTACTCCCAACTGTTTCGTGACAGATATATCCGTGTATTTATTAAGAATCAGGCAGTAAGTAGCCAGTAACCGATATCTTTTATCAGCAGATCTTTAAAATATGGACTCAGAACTTCGGTTATAACATGGATACATTTAATATGATGCAAATTCATTTCTGTTGCTCCTCCTTTGACGCAGTTACAACAATAAATCAGGTTGCATAAATCCATGAGGTGGTAAATACTACTAATAGACGAGTGTTCTGCAAAATATAAGCTAAGATTAGCTTCAGACTTACTGGCACTGGCACTTGCGGTATCTTGTTCCTAATTGACAACTTCTATTTCTTTCTAACAGTGGTAGAGCCACGCGGCAGCTTTTGCTGTCGCACGGATGGACCGGCTCGAACCGGGGTGGTACCACGACCTCACAGAAAACCAGCGTGAAGTAGAGGTTTACCTCTGCGTTTCACTTGGTGAGTGGAGGTGGCCGGTGGCCCTTTTTACTGGAAATGAGGCATTCCATCTTAGTCCTCACGGGTGACAACGCATTTACATTTTGATTTGTAATAGAGGATAGATGTAGATGTCTATGGGCCGCAGCAACCACTTACCATCAGGTGGACTGTGTGCTCGTCACCCTTATCATATAAAAAAAAAACTATTTTTGTTTGTGAGGACGATGTGAAAGGAGCTGAATTTGATTGTCTTTATGTTTTTTGTTTCTTTGTGTCGTTGGATATCGAATAACTTCGCAGTTATCTCGATTTCACAATATAAATATAGCGCTTTGGACGGGTATCCCGGCACAGGTTTTATAAACTTAAACTCCTCTTTTTTATAATGATGTTTGTAAACAGTCTTTTGTTTTAATTCACACACCTTATTAACAAAACTGAATATCTACACGACAGTGTTTACTCGACGACGATTACTTTAACAAGTACCAAAATCTAAAAACAAAACAAATGTTCAATATCAACTCTCCTTGCTTTATTATTAGTATTATAATACTGAGAAAAAAAGACGCTTAAATAAGATTACGATGAAGGAATTGTGATTACATTCAAAATTACTCAATTTATACTATGACAGAGAATTCCCCGTTAAAGGGGGATTCACCCAGTAAAGAGGCAGTAGGAATAGGTAGGGTGATCATAACCACAACTAAAAATATACCGATTGAGTGATTATGAGTGTGAATGTGACTGAGGAAATGTATGCTAAATAGCGCACATTGTTTCCTAACTTGGCAAGCGCGCGATACGAAATTTTCGTACCGTATAAAAAGGGCTATATTGCTCTTTCGGGCCTAAAACTTTGAAAAACGAGTTCACCTACTGTAATAAGTGCTAGATCTAACCCGAAAAGTGCTAACGTGGCATCTCTAGGTTAGCGAAATGTAGGGCGCCCGCCACTAGATGGAGTGACAACTCGTAAATGATGCAGGAATTCGATGGATGAGGGTAGCTCAGAAGCGTGAAGGGGAGGTCTATGGCTAACAGTTGACATTTGATGGGCTGTAATGATGATAATGATTATGATTTCAATCAGTATCGTCGGGGGAGAGCATTCCTTACCATAGAATAAATAATATCTATGGTGTTAGCACTAAAGAAAATATTTAAGTATTGGCAACACCTAACATATCAACTACAAAATAAATTTTACACAATGGCAATAATTTTAAGCGGCTGCCATGATCGTAGATTGACAAAGTCTATGGCCATGATCTGATTTGGCGTTTGTCTTGTCAGCTTGTCACTAGTTAATAGAATATCTTCAAAAATGTTTTATGGAAAATTTATTTTCACAAAGTTTATCGTTGTGTCAATATTTCTTACTCCTATATTGGCAGAATGGAATACAAGGGATTATATAAGGAGGGAGCATTCTCTTACAAAACCATACCAAGGTGAGTGACCCCAGTAGTATGACTTTGATCTTGATTGGAATTTGTAATGCATTTACTCCACAAATATCCTATTCTGATTAATTACAGGAAGTGGAATGTCGGTGCCTTATTGGGACTTCTTAGGTAGCACAATAGTTACTTCAAATTACGTCCGATTAACACCCGATTTGCAATCGAAATCCGGTGCTATTTGGAACACAGTGGTAAGTAATTATTGTTATCAGTCAACATAAATGAACGACAAAACATTACTCGTCTTAAAGATATTTTAAAGTAAACAAATGCTATCTTTTGTTTTGTTAAACATAAAGTTAAATCTTTTAAACTTTAAATTCTCTTAACTGGCATATGGAATACTGGATGAAGTAAATTATGGGTTTAGTTTTTGAATCCTGCGACTTAATTTCTTTGGTGATTTTAGTGTTACGATATACAATGTTTGGATTTAAATAAGTCAATCTTTATATTAGGGTTTGAGAAAGTATAGTTTTTATCAAATAATACATCAACAATATAAGGAAACATAATGCATTTGCTATGTGTAACCGCACTCGGTATTTTGTTTTTTATTTATTTATATGTGTCTTATGTTTGTGCACTATGATCTAAAAAAAGATATTTAAAACAATACATAATCTAGATGTTTATATGTATAAATGGCTAGTAATATAGTAGAGTGGGCAGTTAGATAAATAGTTTGGAAGTTGTCCATGTCAGGTTGTATTAAATTTGTCAAAAATATTGAAGCACATATCAAGTTGTACCAGTGACAGCATATCTATGTGTAGCTGGGGTGGCCCTTGGCCCACAATTGTTACTCCATTTTTTTACTGTGCAACTTTTTTTTTCAGATATCTTCTTGATTATGATTATAAAGTTAAGAAGAATGTTGCTCTTTTATAGTATAAAATACTACAGGTGTCCACTAAATCTGTAGAAGACAAATATGACAATCAAAATAATGCAAAGTGCAAGGTACTAAATGAATACAAAGAAAGTACTATACCATACTGTTTAGCCTATTAAAGTCCACTGCTGAACATAGGCCTCCCCCATAGATGGTCTCTATAGGATAAGAGAGATATTTGCCATAGTTGCCTCACTTGGCCAGCGAGGTGACCAAGAAAGTATAATAGACAGTAAAGTTATTGTGTTAAAATAACATCATTTTGGTAAGAAATTAATGATAACCTTAACTATAAAAAAAGAGAACAATTACAAAACAGTATTAAGATTAGAAAAAAATCATAATTTAAAACTAAGATGTTAACACTGCTACTCCCATTTTATAAGCTTAAATTAGCAAGCCATATTATGTCTTCATGATGAATCTCCGGAATTGTTATTGCATCCTCCTGTTAAAAGTGACATCTTCCAAATTCAATTGATGCTTCTTGATGAATTTATGTTTACCAGTATAAAGGCAGACAAACACTATTCAACTTATTCTATTTTATTTTTTTAGGATACGGTGACAAACAAGCACACAGCCCACCTGATGGTAAGTGGTTGCTGTCACACACATCTATATTTATCCTCAATAAAAATCAAAATGCAGATGCGTCGTCACCCTTGAGGACTAAGATGGAATGCCTCTATTCCAGTAAAATGGGTCTCTGGTTCTCTACACTCACCATACGAAATACAGCAGTGTCAAGCTGCCATTTTATGATGATATTCTGTGAGAGTGTTGTCCTTCCCTGGTCGAACCAACCCATTCGTGCTACAATAACCACCCCTGGAGGGTGCCAGCAGGCTGTTAAGCACTTTGGTCAAGTGTGCATAAAACTAATTTCCTCTCTCAAACAGAATTGACTTTTTATTGGTAAATTAGCTTCATTAGAATGACAATACTACCGTGCTATTTTCTTTTATCTAGACTTAAACTTAACTTATCTTCATGCACAATCCCTGACGGGGTAGCCAGAGAGAACAGATCGCCAAGTGTCACGATCCTTACATACCTCTTTCGCTTCTTTCAGATTCATTATCTTCTTCATACATGCACGTCTAGGTATCCGAGTACTCTTGACCCTACCCTCTTCGAGCAATTTGCTCACATGGTCTTCGAAAGTTAGTCTCGGTCTACCTCAACACCTTTTAATATTAACTTTCGCGCTATATATTTTCTTCACCATTCGGTCTTCACTCATTCGCTCAACATGCCCAAATCACCGAAGCACGCCCTTATCAATTTTTGTGATAAGGTCATCTTTCAAACCTGCCATATTGCGAATCTCTTCGTTTCGCTTTCGGTCGGCCAAGGTAACGCCGCACATTTTACGAAGAGATCGCATCTCCACTGCATTCAACTTGCTTTATCTAGACTTCCTTTATAATTTATAAAGCTTGGCTTGTAAGAAATAGTTAGGTAGAGTAAACAACAAATAAACCCGAAATACGTTTTCTATCAGAAATGTGGTCGTATTCTACTTAGTTAAAAATCTTCTAAACAAAGTTTTAATTTCAATATTTTGTGTTATTATAATTTAAAACATTTTAATTACAAAAGACAAGTATGTAAGTGGGTACTCGGGTATTACTAGGTATTACTTCTGTAGTTAAATTATTACTTTTTTTTCGCTTTAAGTACCTATCTTACAAAAAAAATGAAATAAATTCACCTTTCATTATCTTTCAGTAATTAAAAAAAATATATCCTTTTGTTTTTTTTTCTTTTTATAGAAGAGGGGGCAAACGAGCATGCGGCTCACCTGATGGTAAGTGATTACCGCCGCCCATGAACAACCCCAACACCAGGGGAATTGCAGATGCGTTGCCGGCCTTTTAGAAAGCTCTTTTCTTGAAGGTTCCTAAGTCGTAACGGTCCGGAAAATTCGCTGGTGGTAATTGATTCCACAAGGAAGTTGTGCGAGGGAGAAAACTTCTTCTAAATCGCACAGTGGTGGACCGCCAATCATCCAGATGGTATGGATGGTAACGCGAGTTTTGTCGCGATGTGCGATGGTGAAATTGAGCGGCTGGAATTAGTCCGAACAATTCCTCAGAGCACTCCCCGTGATAGATGCGATAAAATACGCAAAGAGATGCAACATCTCTACGCAGTGCCAGTGTATGGAGCCGATCAGAAAGAACTCGGTCGTCGACGATTCGAACCGCTCTACGCTGGATGCGGTCAAGTGGACGGAGCTGGCACTGGGGTGCCCCGGCCCGGAGATGATAACAGTATTCCATGTGGGGCCGAACTTGCGCTTTGTAAAGTTGCAAGCGATGTGCCGGCATGAAATACTGTCTCGCTCTGCTGAGCACGCCAAGCTTTTTAGAGGCCAATTTGGCCTTCCCTTCCAAGTGACCACGAAACTGCACACTATTCGATATGTCGACGCCAAGGATTCCGATACTAGCTGAGGCAGCAAGGGGAGTGCCTTGAAACTGAGGAGATACGACAAAGGGGTTCTTTTTAGCGGTAAACGCGCAAACTTGTGTCTTCTGGGGATTGAACTGGACTAGATTTAGTAGGCCCCAATCCGAGACTTTGTTAAGCAAAGACTCGACTTCAGACACAAGTTTGTCCCGGTACTCAGCGACGTTTTCCCGAGAAATATTGGCACGGCCGGTTTATAAGGCAACACCAGTGCTGTCGTCTGCATAGCAATGAATGCTACCAGTTAGCAACATATCATTGATATGCAGGAGAAACAGCGTTGGTGATAGCACGCAGCCTTGTGGAACACCAGCGTTGATAGGCTTGAAATCAGAGCATGCACCGTCTACTACGACCTTGATGCTCCGATCAGCAAGGAAACTGGTGATCCATTTGCACAATTTCTCGGGAAGCCCATAGGAAGGAAGCATCGAAAGAAGCGCTTTGTGCCAGACCCGATCGAAGGCCTACGCTATTTCCAAACTGCGGCCAATGCCTCCCCCTTGGACTCTACTGCCTCCGCCCATCTATGAGTCAGATAGACTAGAAGATCACCAGCTGATCAACCTCGACGAAAACCGTACTGTCGTACCGTACCGTCACTAATCAGCTGGTGATCCTCAAGGTACCTCATGAACTGGCAGTTTATAATGGATTCCATTATTTTGGAGAACAAGGAGGTGATGGCAATAGGCCTGTAGTTGGACGGGTCTCAGCGGTCGCCTTTTTTAGGCATCGGGTGGACCAAAGCTGAATTCGGGACTACGCCTTGGGAGTAGGAGTACCGGAAAAGATGTGTTAAAACCGGTGCCAACTCCGGAGCACACGTCTTCATCACAATGGGAGGGACTCCATCGGGCCCACTCGACTTCCACGACGTCCAGGGAGAAGAGTGCTTTGCGAACCGAGCGCTGTGTAAACCGCACATCCGGTATGGAGCACTCACATCGCGGGATGGTCGGCGGTGTGTTTCCCCCGTCATCTAGAGTCGAGTTGGACGCAAAAAGAGAGCTCAACAGATCGGCTTTCTCCTTTGCGGCATGGGCCAGTGAGTCGTCCTCTCTGTGCAGAGATGAGAGAGATGACTGACAGAAGTTCCCTTGGACAGCCTTGGCGAGAGACCAGAATGCACGGGTTCCCGAAGGAAGGCGAACTAGCTTCTCGCCAATTCTGCCGATGTGCTCAGACCTTGCCTTGGATATGACGCTTTTGAAGGACCTGGAGGCGGAATTATATTTCTTTTTAAGTGCGCTGGTGTTTACGTCCCGAGACGTTGATGCGTCAGCCCAGGCCCGGTAGCACTCCTGCTTATAGCGTGATGCTATTTTACAGGAGCGACCAAACCATGGCTGGGATCTGCCTCCGAGGGGCACCACAGAGGATGGAATAAAAAGTTCCATACCCTGAAGTACCACATCAGCAACAGAATCGGCAACAACGCTGGGATTTTCCGGCGAGAAGCAAACCCGCCCCCAAGGGTAAGATGCATAAAAAGACCGCCTACACCTTCCCAATCAGCTGACCTATAGTGCCAAACACGGCGGCAAGCTGCAGATCGCAACTGCGATTGGAGCGTGAGTGGCACCGTACTCCGGATCAGACAATGGTCCGAAGAGCCCAGAGGGGCATCAACGGAGACCTGATATCCGTCCGGATGAGAGGTCAGCAGAAGGTCCAACAGGGAAGGTACATGGTCTTCCACATCTGGGATCCGCGTAGGCGAAGTAACCAGTTGTGTTAGACCATATGCCAAAGCAAAATCATAGACAGATCTACCCGCATGATCGGTTAAACGAGAACCAAGCCATTCAGCGTGGT